TCAAAAATGTGTTATCCCCTTATACTAAGATAGCATTGTCAAGTTAGCTATCAACCCCATTGCTTTTTTAAACTGTTGTTCATTCATAAAATACATGTAGCTTAAAACATTTCTTATCATGACTTTTATTAATTTTATACAATAGATAGATGATCACTTCAAGACCTGTGTAAACTTTTAAGCAGTGTACATGTGGTTTTTCTGTCATCCGTGCATATCGAACTTTATTGTAACTATAAAATAATTTAAATTATTATAATATATTGATTTGCTTTCATATTAGGATAACTCATGCAGTTGTATCTTTTTATCCATATTTGAAATCTAAATACAGGGTAAACAAAATTGTATTGTTGTTTTCTTTCGTTTTTCAACATTTTTTATGAAAAAAAAATTCAAACCATTTTTGGGTTTTATTTTTATTATGTCCCCGACTCGACAAATTTTTACCTTTTATTTTTATTTTTATTTCGTCCCCTCGACCCAACTTTTTCTTAAAAATTCCCGTTAAACAGAAAATAAAAAAACTCTGGCCTAACACTAAGTACATAATTCTGTGTATCAGTATTTCACTTCAATGAACGGTGTTGCCACGGTTACTAAAAATAGAATTTTCTGTTAAATACTCTCTAAATGTTACTCCAAATACAGTTTTAGTCTGATTATAATATAATGTGGCATGCAAGTAGACTACACTAAGAACATAAAGAGACTTAATCAAGGATCATTATTCTATTTATTGGTGTTGTACAGTATTTCAATTCCCAACTGCTTTTAAGTACTTTTCTCTTCCTTTGCTATAAGTACAAACCAGTAGAACTTTAGTCTCGACAGAGACTTCTGGTTATTACCATTGTCATTTACGATAATCTATATACACAACCTAATATGTCATGCATGTCTTTGTTTTTATTTATCTCCTTAGCGTCAAAGCTCTGCCCGCCGAGTGAAAAGTCGAACTCCCCCCCTTTCAAAATCAAATTGTCGTCCTCTTACAGTAGAAATGAATTTTCATATTCAGGGAAAGGGTCAGTTGCATTGGGGAGTAATTAATTGAATTACAATTACATCTTAGAATCTAAACTTAAATTAATATTAATCTAACGGGGACTTTTATGTATAATTAGTCAAAGTACAATTACCAAAAACTTTGTAAACGTAATTCATTTAATTACAAATCAATTTCAAAAACACTTTTTGAAACTTAAGCAGAGAGTTCACATAAAATGTAAATACGAATGCAGTATTAATAATATAAAGTAATAAAAAAATGACTTGTAATATTGTAGCATACATTATATAGGGAACTAGTGCTAATTGTAACGGGAACCGTTACAGATGTTCCCCAAACGCTCCCCAAATCCCTTTTGATGCCATATTCCCTGTAAGCTTCATTAAATAAGACAACAACTGTGCATTTTTTACTTTAACAACGTTTTCCCAAAAGGATACCAATTATTTTCAAATTTTAACATTGCACGCGTGCCCATGTGAATGCACGCGCGTAATGATCATATAATCTTGTCTACATTTTCTATATATTTAAATATACTTTATATTAAAGCATTAAGTCCAAAAGTATTTAAAAAATCACTCATTTAAGTGTACATTTAATTTCACTCGTTCCAAATGCACGCACGTGCGTGCACATGCATGATGACCATACCGTCTTGTAGGAGGCCTTTATATCTATCTATGTTCTAAATCCCATCCTGTTTGGTTGAAACCCAAGGGAATTATAGCCATTTCAAGTTTCGGCCAATCAGATTGCAGCACACGTGCATCCACGTGATTTCAAGAATCTTTTTCTATATCATATTGTAGAATATCCTAATGCATGACTGTGTTTTAAATTTCAAAGCATTTCGTCAAAAAACAAAGGAGATATAGCCATTTAGAGTTTCAGCCAATCAGATTGCAGCACACATGCATGCGCGTGATTTCTTGATTTTTTTTGTATATGATATTGCAGGATATCCTTATGCGTCACTATGTTTTAAATTTCAAAGCATTTCGTCAAAAAACAAAGGAGATATAGCCATTCAAAGTTTCAGCCAATCAGATTGCAGCGCACGTGCATGCGCGTGATTTCTTGAAATTTTATCCATATTATATTGTAGGATATCCTAATTCATGACAATGCTTAAAATTCCAAAGCATTTTGTCGAAAAACAAAAGAGATATTGAGATTTTTGTTTCAGCCAATCAGAGCAAAGCGCACGTGCATGCGCGTGAGTTCGTGCTAATTTGACAGTGTAATTTTATTAACACTATTAATATATCCTCATGTACTGAGTTTCAAAGCATTTCATCAAAAAATGTAAAAGTTATAGGTACATTAAGTAAATCAGTCAATTCACTCATTTCACGCGCACGCACGTGCAGGCGTATGCGCGCAAAATGACCTTCGTTCCGCACACCTACACTACACACCTATTAACCCTAAAAAGGTTTTAGCTCAGTTGGGTGAACAGTTTCTGAGAACACTCGCGGACAAAAAAGTACCGGAGAACAAATAAGAAAAAAAATAATAATAATAATAACTAGTGCTAATTGTAACGGGAACCGTTACAGATGTTCCCCAAACGCTCCCCAACTCCCTTCTCGTGCCATATTCTCTGTAAGTTTCATTAAAGAAGGCAAAATCTATGCATTTAAGACGTAAACAACGTTTTCCCAAAAGTATACCAAGTATTTCAAATTTAAGCAATGCAGGCGTGCGCATGTGATTGCATGAGCGTAATGACGATATCATCTTGTCTACACTATTTTACTCATTTGCACGTGCACGCACGTGCATGATGACCATACCTTCTTGTAGGAGTCCATTATGTCTGTCCATGTTCTTAATCCCATCCTGTTTGGTTGAAAAACAAGGGAGTTATAGCCATTTAAAGTTTAAGCCAATCAGGATGCAGCGCACGTGCATGCGCGTATTTTCATAACAATTATTATATATCATATTGTAGGACATCTTAAAGTATGCTTATGTTTTAAATTTCAAAGCATTTTGTAAAAAAACAGAAAAGATATTGAGATTTTTGTTTCAGACAATCAGAGCAAAGCGCACGTGCACGCACGTGCATGCATGTGAATGGTGACCATATCATCCTGTAGGAGTCCTATATGACTATCTATGTTGTAAATCCCATGCTGTTTGGTTGAAAACCAAGGGAGTTATACTCATTTAAAGTTTCAGCCAATCAGATTGCAATGCACGCGCATGCGCGTGATTTCATGAAAAATTTTATATATCATATTGTAGTACATCCTAATGCATGTCTATGTTATAAATTTCAAAGCATTTCATCATAAAACAAAAAAGATATTGAGATTTCTGTTTCAGCCAATCAGAGCAAAGCGCACGTGCATGCGCGTGAGTTCATGCAAATTTGACCATGTCATCTTATCTACACAACTTATATATCTTTATATAATGAGTTTCAAAACATTTTATCGAAAAATATAAAAGTTACAACCATATTAAATATATCAGTCATTTTACTCATTGCACGCGCCCGCACGTGCATGCGAATGCGCGCAAAATGACCTTCGTTCGGCACATCTACACAACATGCCTACTAACCCTAAAAAGGTTTTAACTTAGTTTGGTGAACAGTTTCTGAGAACACTTCCGGACAAAAAAGTACCGGAGAAGAAATAAGAAGAAAAAAGAATAATAATAATAACTAGTGCTAATTGTAACGGGAACCGTTACAGATGTTCCCCAAACGCTCCCCAAATCCCTTTTGATGCCATATTCCCTGTAAGCTACATTTAATAAGACAACATCTGTGCATTTTTTACTTTAACAACGTTTTCCCAAAAGGATATCAATTATATTCAATTTAACATTGCACGCGTGCCTATGTGAATGCACGTGCGTAATGATCATATAATCTTGTCTACACTTTATATATATTTCAATATACTTTATATTAACCCCTTCACTTCCGTACCGGTCAAATTGACCGGTGGCGCGTTAAAACACGACTTCGCGAAAATAAGATCTCCGTATCTATTTTGTGGCAGCATGAAGGTATATAAGCTATATATCATCTTTTTGGAAATTTTCTCTACTTTTAAAATATCTAAAAAGATTATATCTTGATTGCCGGTATTTAATCGATTTTACGTTGTAAAGACAAACGAGACTTTTTGAAAATGGCGTAATTTTCCAAAGCGATTGCCGATTTTCCAGACGATTGACAATTTTTTTCCTGATTAACTTTATAAGAAAGCATGGTATATTCTTAAAGAATATTTTCTCTACCTTTAAAATATGTAAAAATTATTGTTATTACTTTAAGGTATATTTTAAAAACAAGAATTATCTTGCACCAATGTGTTTTTTCTCGATTTTATTCGTAATATTTAAACAAAGCTCAGTTTTACGTTTATTTCTGTGTTGAAATAGGGAAAACAAAATAAAGCTGGTAAAAGTAGAGAAAATTTCCTTTCCAACAAGCCCTTATAGGCCTTCTTACGCTCAGTATTTTCTTTATTACGATAATTTGAATTTGTGACCTTAGCATAGTTTTTTATGGAAAAATCGGTCAATATTTACATGTAACGTCAAGGTCGACATTGTTGCGTCTTACTCGAAACAACAAATTCTTTTATAAGACTTTTTTCACCATTTAAATATATTTTTACTGAAATAAATGCATAAAACAAAAAAAAAACAAAAATAGATTTCAAAAAACAAATTATACTTTCGTTCTGCCTTTTGTGTTCAGTGAATATTGATTTATTCATCTACATGTAGGCCCTAATGATGTATTTTTCATGAAGTGATATACAATATTGATAAAAATTGTAGATTTCCAAAACGTCGATCTTTACTAAAAAAAAATAAATCAGATTTTTAATATTGTTGTTATCTTGTTATACTGTATACTTATTAATTTGCAATTTAATTAGATCTATATTTTAACAATACAAAAACTCGTATAAAATTTATAAATAAATACGACTCATCACTGTATGAGTTGATACGAATTGAAATAAACACGTGTTTCCGCTGTGATAGCTGTAAACAAAAACATGATCCGAAATCTGAACTTCAATTTTCATGATTATTTCACGACGAAGATCCTCACATCAATGAATCAAATAATACGGACATGCCTTTGGTATTAGCAGGTGAGAATACGTGTATATTGACTGAAAAATCAGAAAAGTTTAAGATTAAAACGCATTAGTTTACGTTCAAAAGAAAACTAAATGTACACATGTACTAGATCTTTATGTTTCAGTGTGCGTGTTTCGTATCGTCTAGCCAATTTTGCATTGTTTTTGAACTGTGATGCTTTTGACAATCACTCGTAAGTTAAAAGTAAAATCAAAGTTGTCATAATAATGGATAGTTGTTTTCAGTATCAATGTACCAGTGTGTAGTTGTCATAATAATGGATAGTTGTTTTCAGCATCAATGTACCATGTACAACTTTCACATTGAAATTTTAGGGTGCTTTCACCATATGCAACAATACTTTCATCTGTGAATACCCACTTTCTAAGCCCACCATGAACTACGAAGGTCAATTAATATGTAAGGACACCAATGAACAGGTAAATTTTTGTTTTGGTATTGAAAATTTCTGTATTTCTAAAATTTCAAAAAATAAAGTCTCATGATATCGCATTCATACAAGTTTATAAACATTTGATTTATATTTTGAAAAATAAGTGTTTTAAACACATAATACTTATGATGCTTGATTTTTCATTCAGACACATTATTTAAACATGTAATATCTATCTGAATGAATGCCAAGATATGGAACAAGCTGTTTTTATAGACTGTTGTTGTATTTCCAATCTGCATAAAGTATGTGATAAGCATTTCCATTTTCTCAATTTTTCAGACACTTTCCAATTATGGTACATCATATACATGGGTGGTCAAACTCACTGGATTGTTTATCAACACTCCCATGCTCACGAACAGCCTTGCCCCAGGAATTTTGCCCTGAAGTAACATTGCAGTCTATTGTCTCCTTTTTTTTTACAACCTGGCAGCCATGCAGGTATGAAATCTATGAAAGCCATGAAGGGACATAGAATTTTTAAAATTTATAAATTTAAAGTAATCCGAGTTCTTGATTTATACAATCCGTTCTCTAGGATTGACAATCTGTTTTAACAAATTGCCAATTCATTCTCACAGATTATCAATTCGTTCCCTCAAATTACACAATCCGTTATCTCAGATTGTATAATTCATTCTCTTAGTTTAAATGATTTATTCCCTCGGAATATAAACCCTTCCCATGATTTTGTTTAAATTATTTATCTGTACATATTGGATATGGTAATACATGTTTAAAAAATAGAATATTGTAGTATTTTACATCCTAACTTTTATTACATATTACGGTCCAAAATGAGAAAAATACATGAACATTTTCAAATCCATGTGCTAGTACTGATATTTGTACAACAAAAAATCTTAGAGGTTTTTGTGTTACTTGTATATTAGAATAATTGAAAGTCCTAGATAGTAAAAGTGAATATGGGTCCTGTGTAATCATAATATTTCTAAAATAAATATACGTTGAATTAGTTATGAAAGTGGTTGGAAACGACCGGTTGCTGAAACAAAATAAATAGAACGCACTTATTGATTAAAATGGTTGGATGTATCTGTACATATATGTAATGAAATTCAAGAGCACAGATTTCCCAAATCATAAGACTGACGTTGTAACAAATCGAGATGTTGAATTATCAATCTGTGAAAACAAATTACCGGTATGTAATTTGAGATCTCAAATTATGAATCAAGGGGGCAAATTAGTAATCCTTAAGATCGGATTGTGTAATTTGAGATCTCATATTATAAATCGAGGGAACAATTTAGTAATACATGGGATTGGATTGTCTAATTTGATTCGATATCATTTTTTACTTTTTTGAAAAATTTACGTGTCCCTTCCTGGCTTTCGTAGCAATCTAATGCCAAATTTTTTTTTACATGTTGCGATAGCGTAAACAGAGGTCTGGCTTTAGTCAGATTGCCATATATGCTATTTGTTTTACTTCAGTAATTTTACCATGATGGTTTACTACAAGGTTGTTGAATTATCAGTCCTGATACATTGACTTAACAATATCATTTAACTACTTGGATCACATAATAAATACAATTTTAATTTTAAAAGGAAAATCAAATAAATGTAGTAATTTTAGCATTCTTAATTTTATTTATAAATATAAATTTATATACACAATGACATGTATCTGTTTCAAAATACTTAAATCTTTTACAGGATAGAAGCTGATCACTTGTACTTGACAGCAAATAATAATGGACAAGTCAAAGAATTTCCTCCAGTCTCACAGAGAAATGACAGTTGATAAAAGAATGGTGGACACAAAGTAAAAGTGCTCTTCAACATTTTGTTGAAGATTTCAGTCTGATTTGGAATTCATCTTGCAATATTTCTGGATTTGTATATTTGGATATAAGCGTCAAATTTTCAACTTATTGACTAAACAGTTTTGCGTTAAATATTGCCAATGCTATCTATTATTATTATTTCCCTCCAAGTTAACATGTCAAGTCTTGATTGTACCCCTTAAGCTCTGTTATACCAGAAAAATCTTGTAATGAAATCATTTAGTTTTTTTTTTCCTTGTTTGATTAAATCCATGAAAATAAAGATTATTTTTGATGGCATCAAGAGAATGGATTTCTTGTTTAACAAAAAGATAGTATACATGTTTTGCTAGGGCTTTGTAAGAAGCAGACCAGAATTCTTTGCTTGCAAATTTTGTCGTTCGCCATTTTTATTAATTACATCAACTATTAGATGATTTATCCATGTTTGAAGCATTTCAAAATTGATATTTACTTACAGTTTAAAGCAGAATTCTGTACTGATATGACCTTGACCCCCTGAAGAACAAGAGTGTCAAGGTCAATTTTTAATACAAAAATTTTCTTTCATCTTTATGACCCATATCTTACAAACAATATGATGAAATATACAAAAAGTGTCTAGAATGTGTCCAGAATGTGAAATAACAATCATGTATATAGCCAAAAAAAACTTTCAAATGATGTTGCTTAGCAACCACTTAAAGGTCATTAAACAGATATTTGAACTAAAATGATGCATGGATATTGCAGTTCTGATCCCTTCTTGAGAGTATATTCAGAATTTTCCATTTCAGCATCCATTGTGTAAAATTATGGCAAGAATATTGAAAAGTGTTGAAAAAAATTGATGAAACCTTTGCACTTATTTGACCTTTGACCTCCTAAAAATAGTTCTAATGAGGTCAAACTTTAAGACAATTTATCTGTTGTATGTCCCTTGTAATTTTATGACCTCACATCTAACTTTTATATGTGCTGGGATGCATAAATGTGTCTAGGATGAGTAAAAAATGAAAATTTCTGCCCGAAAATTAAAGAATTCTGCGTTGCTTAGCAACCCCTTTTAAGTAGTTATATGCAGAATTGAAAAAAAAGTTTATGTGTTTTATGTAGTACAGTATAATGCTCTTTTGTGGGTATATCCCAAATTTCCTATTTCAACATGCATCATACTTAATATTTAGCTTAAAGATGAAAAAGTATCAAAAAATCCCATAAAATTTTGCACTTAATTGACCTTTGACCTCAATTTTTACTAATAAGGTCAGTGGTTGAGTATCTAAACAGTCATAAAATATCATCTGTAAGACATTTCCTACAAAATGGTATGCATTATGCCTAGCTTTCCCCTTGGATAAAAAAGTTAGAAATAATTTAATAATGCCATGTCAAAAGGCCTCCAAAATCACGTAAAATGCGCCGGAAGAGAAAGGGTTAAAGCATTTAGTCCAAAAGTATCTAAAAAAATCACTCAATTAAGTGTATATTTAATTTCACTCGTTCAAAATGCACGCACGTGCGTGCATGATGACCATACCCTCTTGTAGGAGGCCTTTATATCTATCTATGTTCTAAATCCCGTCCTGTTAGGTTGAAAACCAAGGGGATTATAGCCATTTCAGATTGCAGCACACGTGCATCCACGTGATTTCAAGAATCTTTTTCTATTTCATATTGTAGGATATTTCATATTGTAGGATATCCTAATGCATGACAATGTTCTAAATTTCAAAGCATTTCGTCAAAAAACAAAGGAGATATAGCCATTTAAAGTTTCAGCCAATCAGATTGCAGCACATGTGCATGCGCGTGATTTCTTGAAATTTTTTGTATATCATATTGCAGGATATCCTAATGCGTGACTATGTTTTAAATTTCAAAGCATTTCGTCAAAAAACAAAGGAGATATAGCCATTTAAAGTTTCAGCCAATCAGATTGCAGCGCACGTGCATGCGCGTGATTTCATGTAACTTTTTCCATATTATATTGTAGGATATCCTAATTCATGATAATGTTTAAAATTTCAAAGCATTTCGTCGAAAAATAAAAGAGATATTGAGATTTTTGTTTCAGCCAATCAGAGCGAAGCGCACGTGCATGCGCGTGAGTTCTTGCTAATTTGACAGTGTCACATTATCTACAGTATTAATTTATCTTTATATAATGAGTTTCAAATCATTTCATCAAAAAATGTAAAAGTAATAGCTATATTAAGTATATCAGTCAATTCACTCATTTCACGCGCACGCACGTGCATGCGTATGCGCGCAAAATGACCTTCGTTCCGCACACCTACACTACACACCTATTAACCCTAAAAAGGTTTTAGCTTAGTTGGGTGAACAGTTTCTGAGAACACTCGCGGACAAAAAAGTACCGGAGAACAAATAAGAAAAAAAATAATAATAATAAGAAACAGAGTAAAAACAATATGTTCCCAAACTCCGTTTGGGGAACATAATAATAATAATAAGAAACAGAGTAAAAACAATATGTTCCCCAACTTCGTTTGGGGAACATAACTAGTGCTAATTGTAACGGGGACCGTTACAGATGTTCCCCAAACGCTCCCCAACTCCCTTTTGGTGCCATATTCCCTGTAATCTCTCTTAAATAAGAAATACTTTATGGAATTTGGACTTAATCAAGTTCTTCCCAGAAAAAAACAAAATATATTTAAAAATAGGCATTGCGTGTTCATGTTCGTAACGACCATATTATCTTGTCTACACTATCTAAAATTTTAATATACTTAATATCAAAGCATTTAATCCAAAAGTATTAAAAAATACACTCATTCGAGGGTATTTTTAATTTTACTCATTTCACGTGCATGCACGTGCATAATGACTACACCTTCTTGTAGGAGTTCTTTATATTTATCTTTGTTCTAAATCCCATCCTGTTTGGTTGGAAAACAAGGGAGTTATAGCCATTTGAAGTTTCAGCCAATCAGATTGCAGCACACATGCATGCGCGTGATTTCATAAATTTTTATCTTTATCGTTTTGAAGGATATCTAAATGAATGACTATATTCTAAAATTCCAAACATTTCGTAAAAAAACAAAGGAGATATAGCCATTTAAAGTTTCAGCCAATCAGATTGCAGCACACGTGCATGCGCGTGATTTCATGAATTTTTTTCTATATCATATTTTAGGATATCCTAATGCATGACTAAAGGAGATATAGCCATTTAAATTTTCAGCCAATCAGATTGCAGCACGCGCGCATGCGCATCCTTTCATGAAAATTTTTATATATCATGCTGTAGATCTTCATAATGTAGGACTATGTTCAAAATTTCAAAAGATTATGACAAGAAACAAGAAAGATATTGAGACTTTAGTTTCAGCCAATCAGAGCAAAGCGCACGTGCATGCGCGTGAGATCTTGCTATTTTGACCATGCCATCTTGTCTATACTACTAATATATCCTTACATTATGAGTTTCAAAAAAATTCATCAAAAAAAAGAAAAGTTACAGCAATATCCATTATATTGGTCATTTTTCGTGTTGCACGTGCGCGCTCTTGCAAGCACGTGCGCTCAAAATGACCTTTGTTCGGCAAATCTACATAACATGTCTACTGACCCTAAAAACATTTTACCTTAGTCGGATGTGTAGTTTACAAGATCACTGGTGGACAAAATTTTCCCAGGAAGAAGAAAAATAATAATAACTAGATGCGTTCTTGTTGCTAGAGCAACAAGCGGTCTTCCGACCGACTTTTCGTTAGAGATCTAAGCTGCCTCATCCCATTTCAGAATTTTTTTTTGGTTTAAGTTCATTTACAGCAGTCTCTCAACATATATCATGATTACTACAGGTAAACCTCAAAATATCTTTAAATATAGCTTTTAAAAATCGGCAAAATATTTTATACATGTTATAAAAGTGAGAAAAGGCATTTGCAATTGAAAAATTACAGAAACAAAGAAAAAATTTGGGAACGCCCACGGCGGGATTCGAACCCCCCACAGTGGGACAAAGTTTGGTTCGGTCATATCTTTTCAATATATGCACGCATCAAGACACGGAACACATATTTAGAATTCTCATTAGACATGCTATAAACCCTGTAAATCCTAAAGAAAAATATCGAAAAACAAAAAAAATTGAAAAATGGGACTTTTTGAATTCACTTCCGTTTGCGACCGGAAGAGCCGACGACGAAAAATAAAGGTCGTTGTTCAGATTGGAGTTCGATGTTCTATTTCCTCAGTGAGTTTCACTTTCATATCTTCAGCCGTTCTCGAGAAAACTGCTGGACAAATTGCCTTTTAAAAAAAACAAAAATTCTCCAAAATCGCGAACGAAAGTGAATTTTGAAAAAATGAAAAACACGTCTGGAGATATTCTCATGATGCATCATCCCTGTAAAAATCTTTTAGATCCGTCCACGCACAGCTGAGATATCGCTCTAACTATGAAAAAAAGAAAAATAATAATAATAATAATAATAAAAAACAGACGAATAACAATAAGGTCTTCCGAAGGAAGTCGGAAGACCTTAATAATAATAAGAAACAGAGTAAAAACAATATGTTCCCCAACTTCGTTTGGGGAACATAACTAGTGCTAATTGTAACGGGAACCGTTACAGATGTTCCCCAAACGCTCCCCAACTCCCTTTTAGTTCCATATTCCCTGTAATATACTATATGTGAAAGCATTCAGTCCAAAAGTATTAAAAATCACTCATTCAAGTGTATTTTTAATTTCATTCGTTCCAAATGCACGCACGTGCGTGCACGTGCATGATGACCATACCTTCTTGTAGGACTCCCTTATATTTATTTATGTTCTGAATCCCATCCTGTTTGGTTGAAAAACAAGGGAGTTATAGCCATTTCAAGTTTCAGCCAATCAGATTGCAGCACACGTGCATGCGCTTGATTTCATGATTATTTTTCTATATCGCATTGTAGAGTATCCTAATGAATGATTATGTTTTAAATTTCAAAGCATTTCGTCAAAAAACAAAGGAGATATAGTCATTTAAAGTTTCAGCCAATCAGATTGCAGCACACGAGCATGCGCGTAATTTCTTGAAATTTTTTGTATATCATATTGCAGGGCATCCTAATGTATGACTATGTTTCAAATTTCAAAGCATTTCGACAAAAAACAAAGGCGATATAGTCATTTAAAGTGTCAGCCAATCAGATTGCAGCACACGTGCATGCGCGTGATTTCATGAAATTTTTTCTATATCATATTGTAGGATATCCTAATTCATGACTATGTTTTAAATTTCAAAGCATTTCGTCAAAAAACAGAGAAGATACTGAGATTTTTGTTTTAGCCAATCAGAGCGAAGCGCACGTGCATGCGCGTGAGTTCGTGCTAATTTGACAGTGTCACATTATGTACACTATTAATATATCCTTACTTAATGAGTTTCAAAGCATTTCATCGAAAAATATTAAAGTTATGGCTATCTTAAATATATTAGTCATTTCACTCATATCACGCGCCCGCACGTGCAGGCGTATGCGCGCAAAATGACCTTCGTTCCGCACACCTACACTACACACCTATTAACCCTAAAAAGGTTTTAGGTCAGTTGGGTGAACAGTTTCTGAGAAC